GGATGGGCATCCGTAGTGCGATACCCACCGATCTAAGAAGGCCCGGATAACAGTCTCAGCTGTGCAGTCTGTTACGGGAATGGCTTCTGGCCATCTGGTGAAGCGGTCGACACATGTCAGAATGTATACGAATCCGCGTGACGGAGGCAATGGGCCTACCAGGTCTAAGTGTACATGCGAGAACCGAGAGTCTGGGGCAGGAAATGAACCAAGAGGACTGCGGGTGTGACGATGTACTTTAGAGCGCTGGCATTGAAGGCAAGCGCGAGCCCAGGTACGAACATCTTTGTTTACGCGTGGCCAAACGAAACGTTCAGTGACCAATTTCAAAGATGCACGGATACCAGGATGTGACAGCGAGTGTAGTGCGTCAAAGACTGTGCGTCTGAAGGAGACGGGCAAGAGAGGTCTAGGACAACCTGTGGAAGTGTCACAAAGGATGGTTCCTTCCGTGGTTTGGAGAGGAACAGGTTGCACATGCAGCGAAGTAGACTGCAGAGTGCGCTGTATATCTTCGTCTTGAGCCTGAGCTGATGCCATGGCGGCAAGGTCGACTGTGGTAACCCTGTCAGCAACATCGATTGGCTCGATCTCATTGGTTGGCTTGCTGACTCATTACTATTGGTTGTGTGCGTCTGTCGCTTGACTCTCCGTTTAACAAGGGATTCACTCAGTTGTACCTGTTTAATTTTGCGAGATACATTTTACCTTTCCTACGGCTTTCTTGATACAGCATTGTGGCATCGCGGAGGCATAAATGAACCTTTCCATCCAACCCCCATCTCCATTTTGGACTGATTGCGGCAGCAGACCGACATCGGATGCCTGGTTCCGTTGGAAAACATCCTTCTTAAACTACTTGGATTTAATCAGCGATCTCCCTACTGCTCTTACTGAGGATAAAAGATTGAAGCTGCTTCGTCATTTACTCAGAGATGAGGGACAGCGACAATTCGATGATTTGGGTCTCCAAGGATGCAAATCGGTTATGGACGCCTTCAATGCTCTCGATGGTGCATGGAGTTACCAAATGAACGTGTTTACCGCGCGATATATTTTCTCCCGAATACACCAAGAAGCAGGCGAACCCTTGAATGATTTCATTGCTCGGCTGAGTCGTGCAGTACGACCGTGTGCCTACTCGTCTATTCCACAGAAAAAGATTGAAGGCTGTATGCTCACTCAGCAACTGATCACTGGAATCGCTGACAATCGCATACGTGAGGGGCTATTGCAGGAAGACGCTTGCACACTAACTTGGGATCGACCTTGCGAATTAGCCCGAGTAAAGACAGAAATTTCATTGCAATCGAAGCAGTTTTGTTACACCAGCTTAGCTGAAGTGGCGAGAGTACAATCTTTCCGGCAACGTCCGACAGACAAAGTTTCTTGCTATCGTTGTGGGAGCACGTCTCACAAAGCTAATTTTGCCGGTTGTCCCGCACGCAGCCTCAAATGTAAAAACTGTGGTAAATTTGGTCACTATGCCCGCTGTTGTCGATCGCAGGCTGTCGCACTCATTAAAGATGATGATACACCGGAATGCCATGTTACCGATCCAACTCAAGACAATATCTATTCAATCACCGCTGACTCCATACCTTCAGGTTGTGTAACCATATCCGTTGTTGAACCGAAGTTTCCAGCTGCTGACATTCGTACTGTATTGTTCCTTACTGTTAAAGGTGCTGTTCCATTGGAAATGGAACTTGATTCTGCTTCTCCAGTTACTATCGTGCCTTTCCAATTTTATGAACGCTACCTATCACAGCATACTTTACATCCCACCTCACATTCATTCTGGAGTTATAGTGGGAACACACTAACCATATTGGGATTTATTATCGTGCTTTTGCAGTTGCATTCTGTGATTGCCGATGTCGCAGTGTATATTTCTTCGGACAACAGACGACCCTTGCTTGGGAGGAATGCTATGGTGGCTTTGCACATTGTACCATCATTCGACCGCATGCTTATCTCTTCCGTCAACGTAGCACACTGGCAGGAACATTATCCGCAGCTCTTCCAGAAGTCCATCGGCCGTATTCCATGTGGTGTGCATCGAATTCAGCTGAAACCGAATGCGAAACCGATCGCCATTGGTCAACCTCGACCCATTCCGCTAGCGAAACGTGAAGCGGTCTCTGCAGCCCTGCAAGCGATGCTAGCAAATGATTTGATAGAACCCATCGATTGCTCTGAGTGGGTGCATCCAATGGTTTGTGTCATGAAGAAAGACGGTACTGTCCGGATATGCAACGATTTGCAGGCGCTGAACAAACAGATCGTCGTAGAACGCTTTGTTTTACCATCTAATGATGAACTCACTGTACGTTTAGCTGGTGCAACTGTTTTTTCCAAGCTAGATTTGAAAAGTGCGTTTTTCCATATGCCATTGGCCAATGATTCCAAACACCTCACTGCCTTCCTCGCTCCTGATGGCCTATTTCAGTACAAAGTCTTACCCATAGGTTTGAGTTCCGCGCCCGCCGCCTGGCAAAAGTTCATGACTCACGCCCTGGCAGGTATCGATGGGCACGTTGCCTACATGGATGATATTTGTGTTTTCGGCCGCTCACAGGAAGAACATGATGCAAGGTTACACAAAGTCCTCCAGCGCCTCAGTGATCTCAATTTGCGTCTGAAGGCAGAAAAATGTCTCTTCAATGCACCAGAACTTCAGTTTTTGGGACACGTCATTTCACGCAGTGGCATTCTACCAAGTGATGAAAATATCAGGGCCATCTCTGAAGCGCCAACACCCAAAAATTTGACAGAACTAAAGTCCTTTTTAGGAATGTGCTCTTACAACCTGCGCTATCTGCCGGATTTTGCGACTGTGGCAGATCCATTACGACAGTTAACAAAGAAAAAATCGTCGTTTGTTTGGGGCAGCAATCAGCAAAATGCCTTTGATGAACTGAAAAGGAGAGTTGTGTCTGCTCCCTTAGTTGCCATTTTTGATGAATCTTGCCGCACCTTTGTGTCCACTGACGCGTCTGATGTCGGTCTCGGAGCTGTCCTCTCACAAATACAAAACGGAGAGGAGAAAGTTATTGCCTACGCATCACGAAAGCTATCAGATTCCGAACGTCATTATTCAGTTGGGGAAAAAGAAGCTCTTGCATGTGTGTGGGCCTGTGAAAAGTGGCATTTATTTCTGTTCGGTCGTCGTTTTATTCTGCGTACTGATCATTCAGCCCTAACAGCTCTTCTCAGCAATGGATCTAAAGGATGTCGCCCAATGCGAATCGCTCGCTGGTATGCCAGGCTTCTTAACTACGATTTTGAAATTGTGTACCGGCCAGGTTTGCAAAATCAGATTGCTGACGGCCTATCTCGCTTACCCGTGGGGTTGGAGGATGAAAAAGAGAGACTCAGGGAGGCGGTACTAGTTTCCAGTCTCGGAGCTAACCTGCCTGCCTTGACGATCGAGGAACTACGAAGGGAAAATTCTAACGATGCTTTACTGCATGAGATTATTGAATATGTGCAGCAGGGCTGGCCCAAGTATAACAAAATCCCCGGTGAGTTCATTCCTTATTATGCAATTCGACATGAACTATCAGTGGTAGACGGTTGCCTGATGCGCGGTTCGGTGTTTGTAGCTCCGTCCCAGTTGATAGCCAAGATAATAGCTTGCGCACATGAGGGACATCCAGGTACAGTTCGGACCAAAAATCGAGTGAGACTCTATTTCTGGTGGCCACGAATGGCATCTAGCATTGAGACATTTGTGGTCAATTGCAATGCTTGCCGATTAGCGGACAAAAGTTCTTTGCCCGTTAAAGCCCCGACACAGCCAATTGCTTACCCGCTGAAACCATGGACCAAAATCGCCATTGATATTATGGGCCCTTTCGCTACTGCTCCTACGAATAAGCGAAATCTACTTGTTGCTACATGTTTTTACAGTAGATGGCCTGAAGTACACATGTGCGACCAAGTTACTACTTCGGTTGTGTTACGTTGGCTTAAACACTTGTTCAGCCGTTTCGGTTTACCGCATGAAATAGTAACGGATAACGGGCCACAATTTTGTAGCCGCGAATTCGCAGATTTTCTACATTGCCATAACATTAAGCACTCCAGAACTGCGCCCTACAATCCTGCAGCCAACGGCATGGTCGAACGTTTAAACCGGTCTTTAAAAGAAGCTATACAAGCTATACACATAGGAGGTTCGGACTGGGAGGATGCAGTTTTAACTGCGGTTTTTTCCTACAGAACATGTGACCACAGAGCCACAGGAAGAACGCCAGCGGAGCTGATGCTAGGAAGGCCCTTACGCACAAAGTTAAATGCTGCACATAACGTTTTATCAGCGAGAGATGCCGAAGTTTCAAATCGCATAGCATCTTACCAAAATTCCTACGCTAAATTATCAACACCAATGCAGCCCGGGACATACGTTCGCGTCGGTCCGCGAGAACGGTGAAACCTATTGATTGCTACGAACCCGGTTGAGGCAGCTTTTCGGAGGGGGAACGATAATGTGGTAACCCTGTCAGCAACATCGATTGGCTCGATCTCATTGGTTGGCTTGCTGACTCATTACTATTGGTTGTGTGCGTCTGTCGCTTGACTCTCCGTTTAACAAGGGATTCACTCAGTTGTACCTGTTTAATTTTGCGAGATACATTTTACCTTTCCTACGGCTTTCTTGATACAGCATCGACGGTTGGCAAAGACTGGAGAGTGAGATTGACGCGTGAGAGCGCGTCAGCGACGGGATTGTCGACACCTGAGACATGACGTATGTCAGCAGTGAACTGCGTGACAAAGTCTAGGTGTCTTGTTTCCCGTGGTGAGTATTTGTCGCTAGCAGAGTTGAAGGCAAAGATAAGGGGCTTGTGGTCAGTGTAGACCGTGAAAGCGCGGCCTTCAAGTGTGTGCCGGAAGTGACGTATCGCTAGGTAAATGGCCAGCTGTTCTCTGCCAAACGTGCTGTAGCGGGATTCTGCTGGCTGCAGGCGCTTGGAGAAGAACCCAAGGGGTTGTCATTGCCCACCAACGTGTTGTTGGATGACGGCTCCTCCCGCGACGTCCGAGGAATCAGTCGTAATAGAAAAGGGCGCAGTCGATTCGGAATGAGCGAAGAGGGCTATGTTGGAGATAGCATCCTTAAGCTCGGCGAAGGCTGCCTGTGCTGTGTCAGGGAAAGCGAACTTACGTTCATTTCCTCTGAGTAAATCAGTCAGTGGCTGCATGAGCTGAGCGCAGCGCGGAATGAAGCGTCGATAGTAGTTGACCAAACCACAAAATCGACGAAGGTGCTTGAAGGAAGTCGGAGCTGGGAAGTCCTTGATTGCCTGGATCTTGTCAAGGACTTCGATACCAGACGATGAAACGACGTGGCCTAGGAATTCTACCGTTGATTTGCCGAGTTCGCACTTAGTCGGGTTGACTGTGACACCGCGTTGGGTCAAGCGCTGGAAGAGAGCTCGAAGGTGCTCGAGGTGCTCTTGTTCCGATGAACTGGCTACTAAGATATCATCGAGGTAGGCATATGCGAAGTCTTGGCCACGAGTAACATCGTGGATGAAGCGTTGGAAGGTTTGTGCGGCGTTGCACAGTCCAAATGGCATTCTTAAAAATTCAAACAAACCGAAAGGAGTGATGACGGCTGTTGTAGGAATGTCATTGTCTTCCACAGGTATCTGGTGATAAGCGCGAACCAGATCGATCTTGCTGAAGATCGTCTTATCTGTGAGGCATGTGGTAAGGTCCTGCATGTGTGGGATGGGATACCTATCTGGGACGGTTAGGCGATTGAGTGCGCGGTAATCACCGCAAGTGCGCCAGTCACCAGATTTCTTGGGGACCATCTGCAGGGGCGAGGACCAAGGGCTGTCGGAAGGGCGGATTATTCCAAGTTCAAGCATGTGCTCAAACTCCGCCCTAGCTACCTTTAGTTTCTCAGGCGATAGTCGGCGTGGACGGCATGACACAGGTGGGCCATTCGTCCGTATGTGGTGCGTGACTTGAGCTGCCACTGGCAAAGCTGCGTTCATCGGCTGAACGAGCTTGGAATACTGAGAAAGGAGATTACCGTAGGCTGACGAGGTCTGGGGAAATGAATAGACCGGAGATATAGATGTCACATCGGCGGTGCTGCCACGTACGCTGAGTTTTGTTGCAGCGTCGACTATCATCTGGCGTTTCGCATCGACCAAGAGGTCGAAATGCCTGAGAAAGTCAATGCCGATGATGGCAAAGGGGACTGCAGCGACAGTGAATACCCAGCGGAACGTGCGCCGAAGACCTAGGTCCAGGGTAAGTGACCAATGACCATAGGTGACTATTGGCGTGCCATTGGCGGCACTGAGGCTTGTCGACAGAGAAGTGGTAGGCTCACCTGGCATAGGGGGAATGACGCTGACTTCCGCCCCGGTATCAACTAAGAACTGGGTATCGGAGCCATAATCCCTAACGTAGATGAGACGACTTTGAGCTTTGCCGACACCGTTAGTCGCCATTACGGGCCGGCGTGGAAGTTTCCCTGCTTGGCGGTGGAGAAACTGCATGGCTGCTGGCACTTGCGGGCTTTGTTACCAAAACGCGTGTGGTAAAAGCAAAAGCCTGAATTGTTAGGCTTCGTGCGGCGAGTTGATGGGTTAGAGCGGCTGCGCTACTTACGATCTAGGTTGAGTTTCTCGACTTGGCGTTGTAATGACGCTATTTGCAATGCTAAAGCGTCGATTGCCGACGGCTCACTAGTCGCGTATGTCGCCGGGGCTGTGACGGGGCTAAGTCGAGTGAACGTCCTAGATTCGTTCGCTGGCTGATGCCGTTCCATGACACGATCTGCTAGTTCTGCAACTGCTGTGAGAGGCAGGGCGCTTGCAACCGCAAGGATGGCTTGTGTGCTTTCTGGGAGACGTTGCATCCACATTTCGTGGAGAATACCTTCATCCATGCTGGATGTGCCTAGGAGCTGTTGCATCTGTCGCAACAAGGCTGAAGGCATCCTGTCCCCTAGCTGCAGATCCCTAAACAGTTGCTGAAGTCGGACCTTGTCATAGGGCGTGATTCGCTGAATGATCGCCTGCTTCAAAGTATCATATTTCGCATCGGGGGGCGGGCAAGCTATGACGTCCCTCACTTGGGAGGATACGCTTTGCGGAAGCCGGGACATAAGCTGATGATATTTAGAATTATCAGATGAAATTTTACAATCGTAAAAAGTGGATTCTAAATGTGTAAACCATAACAACGGGTCATTCTCCCAAAAAGGTGGGGAGGCTAGCTCTACGGCACTAACCACGTACGTAGATGGTTTATCATCAGCACTGTTCATCGTGAGAAATGAATAAGTATATGCGGCAAATGAGAAAACAAAACGATAGCGAGTAATGTTTCAGAAAAGCACTGGAACGAGCTCACCAAAATGAAAATTCACAATGGCGGACGGCGTGTTCCTGACAGGGGGTCACCAATTGTTGGGCGGAACCTGGGATACTAGTCGGCAAGCAATGACACGTAAGAAGTGTCAAATACGACAGTATAGAAGTCAGAGGAGACTGAACCCAACGTGTTGTGCAGGCTACAAGAACAGGAAGCGAATCAGACAGAGCGAGAAACGTGCAGAGAGGAACTCACCAAAACGGTTTGTCATAACAGATGTGCAGTCAGTTAAACAAATGGACGCTTCGAAGGTTAAAACAACCATAAAATCCAACGTTACAGAGTACTGAAAGAGCATGTTTTCCGGTGCACTACAGGCTCCCAAGGCTGGTCAATCATGTAGATGAATTAGGTACTGTATCCACGACACCTTCGATTGAAAAACCATTTCAATCACATTTTGTTCCTGTTTCATTTGAAGTTGCGTTTGGAAAAAGCTTGGGCTTATAGCGCATAGATCGTGCGCATTATATCCGGTACTCGACTATACGGCCAACCAAAAGCAATGAGTAGAAGACAAAAAAGTAAGCTAGGGAAGAAGTTTATTGGACGGGAGGAGCGTTAGCTAATGCTAAAAATGGGGCACCCAGAGAGAGGTAGCTAGGGAGAATGTCGTTGGCGCCGAGAGCGTAGACGAAGCGTCGTTCGCAGTCGAGCCGCGCGCCAAAGGCGGAGATCGTGTTCGTGTTTCCAACAAACGGGAACAACGTTCCAACAGGCAAACCGAATAGTTCCCTAGTACATGAGAAAGCTATAATTTGAATATTTTAGAATAGTTTACACAGTCATACGGGGGAATCTCCAGGTCGCTACAAACTAACCAGAAGTATGTCATTCGCTCAAACCATGCAGAGAGTACAGATGGACCAGAAATTTGCATGCTATCTTATTAAAGTATCACGGCACATATTTTCGTTACTAAATTGTGCATTAATGAATAAATAGCTTGTACCATTCTTCTGGGTTTGTTTTACTGCTTCGATTAAACAATTTCCATGGTAGTATATAAATGTCTGTCACATGAATATGAAATTCTAAAACATTTTTGCCACACCAGGAAAATACGCTCTCTGCCCTTAATTTCGAATGCCTTAAAAGCTCCCACTTGGAGTAGGTTCAAATAAAGGGTCTGCGTGTGCTGTTGTCCTAATTACGTGTTGGAACGCAAACATGGAATTCCGAGATGTGAACATGAAACTTCTGGCTGATGATAGAATAAAAAGTCGCTTATGTATCAGGAAACCTACAATTAACCAAGCCAGAAATCTAGCAACTCCTTCTACCCCTTTCATTGAGCCATTGGTATGGCTTAAACTTTTTTTACTGCTTGCCTTAGAACCAGTTGAAAGAGAGTCAGCAGTATAATTCCGTGAAAGCCATACATGCCAGAGCCGCCGCTAAACTTGCGCGTCAAGCGTCTGTGTCAAGTTTAAGAGAGAAAAAAAGAACCAAAGTTTTATCTTTTGCCACGACAGTCCTTGATTTGCCAGATCATTTACTCAAAAAAGATGTTTTCTCTCTTCCAGTAAGTAGTCAATGTACTGTTTTGGCTAATTTACACTAGACACTAGACTTTACTTATACCCAAGGTGAACAGGAAGAACATGAGAAACAAACGCCATCAGAAAGTACAACGGCTCGGATTTCAAGCATGGACTTTGGTAAATTTATTTTGTTCATTGAGTTCCTGTGTTAATAACTAATAGGGAGAACGTGCTCTTCCACATAATACAAGTGGCTTAACGAGGTCTGCTGGAGTGACCGTTATAGTCTTGTATGACTATGTAGCACGCACCTAGTCGTCCAGTTTTGACCTATTTAGAACAAGTTTCGGTTACTCATAAAATATTTTCAGCGCACTCTGAACAATTAGCTAACTAAATTTTTGCTTGCAAATGCCATCAACAATAAGCGAAAACCAATTCTCAAATTACAGGTACGCAATAATATAGCCGTTCGGTTGAACCTAAATAACTGTTGAGTGACCGAACTTCGTCCCAAACGTGCCCAGCTGGGTCAGCCAAGATCATGAAAAGCGGACCCACAATGCGTACCAACAGTCGTCCGCGCTAAATAAAATATGGTTTTAGTAAAAATGAAGGTCTTATATGCAAAGAACGGTGTGGTTAAAGAGGTATAATAATATTTAACATGTTTGGATATTGTACATTAATTACTTCATATTTAACTTTTGCCCGCGTGACTTACCAAAATAAGTCTAAATGGGACGGCTTACCATCCCTATGTGAGGACAGGGTTGTTGGCTCCGGCACTTCGCGCGTTCGTGTTTAGTCTTTGTTAACTAAGTTGTATATTGCTAATATTCTTTATTAAGCGGACTGACTTCATTTACAACATCATCTAGACTAGCCGAATACAGGTCTGAGCAGCTCAAGATCCCAACGCGATACAGGCGTTCGCCCAACGAGCTCTCTGCTTCCTGTACCAACAATCGTATTGTGGCGTTTGATTGACTCTCCTACTTTCTGCAATGAAACCTAAGCAACGAGGAGAAGAGTGCTTGCATTTCCTTGGATCAACAACAGATTTCACCAAACGAGGTTCCATTGCTACAAGTTCAAATTCAATTGCAGTATTTCCGGAACCAAGGAGGTTACTACCTACCAAGTCCCCTTTTGAAGACAACTTAAGTCCCGCAATTTAGCTACTTAAAAAGTACTTTATGCCTGACACTTACAACGCGGTTCGTCAAAACAGTTCGCCCTGCTATTCAGTACAAGCCTTTATTGCTTTCGATGCAGACAATGTCTCTGCAGTTGCGTCGAAACAGCCCGCTCAATCAGATTCGTAGGCTAAATGCACTAACGAACTCTAACATGTTGTACGTCTCTATTAGATCGCATCTTAATCCACGCCGTCCAAAGGAAAACTATACTAAGATCCTTAAACGGCCTTCATACCACGTCCCACGTTGACTATCAACTATACTGGCCGACAATTTTTAATAGTTACCATGCAACTAATGTCACTACGATGATACAACGCCATAGCTTGAATACAGTACTCAGAAATGGCCTAAGCGCTGCTCTGCACAATGATAGGAAGACTTCTGGCTTGCGTTACATAGCGTTTTTTTAAGACAATGCAAATTTGTCGTGCTTTCTTGGCAGCATGGCGAGGATGAGCCGAAGTTTTGAAACTACCAACTATGGTGACAAATAAATCGCGTGTTTGCTGATTAGCCTGCAAAAGAGTGCTCTTGAAAAGTCTGTACTGCAATCCTATTGCTACTAGTGATCAGCGGCTTACATTTATTGACATTCATTGCCAAATCTCTTTAATACAACCAGTTAACGAGGTTTATAATAGCTTTGGTCATTGTTGTTTGATTGCCCTTGCCGAGCGGTTTTGTCACCTGCAAGGACGTAATGTTGTATTATTAAAAACTAATCTGAGACGGTGCGCGTATGTGAGGGTGGATATCAAAAGGCAAATGAACGATAAGTGATCTTTCTGTGGGCTACAAAACCTCATCCTTGAAGGCTGGAATTTAGAAGCCTTTGACATCAATTATAATGAATGAATCGAGGTTCATAGGGTAAAATTGTATAGAACTAAGTGAGTGAGCTTCCGTGTCAACTAAGAATTCCCTGTAAATCGGAGTTTACTGTGCGTTTGATATTTATTAGTTATTGTTTGAATGGCAGGGTACATTAAGGAGGGCCGTTGGAGTGGGCTTATCAAATTGTAGGGAAACTAGCTAGCCCAGAATAAAGGCTGACAGCATCTCAATCTTTGCTACAGTTAGGCTGTGCGCTTGGGAGTGGCTTGTACTCCGCCGCGCCCCCCGCCATAACAACTCTCGTCTCAAAAAGAAACGTCCCCAGTCCACATCTAAACGCTCTCTGACTGCGGTGATCCACAAGTATGTTGCGCGCGAGAGCTAGTCGATCAAATAAAAGCCTTGAAGCATGCATTGATAAAAACGCACGCAGATTAAGCTAAAAAAACGGGTGAATGGCCTACATGCAAACATATATCTATCTTTTTGCTTTTTGATACTTTTACGGATTTTGGAAGCTCTTGATTTCATGCGTTTTCAAAAGTTTTACCGACCAAATACGGGACAAATATGTACAATAATTACAATACTAAACGTATTTGTACTGCGCATAATTGACGGAACGAACTGGCTTACGTGCCTTCCGACTACTGCGGTTGGTTGTGGGTGGAGAAACATTAGGTTTTTAAGATGTGATCAAAATGGTTATGCTTGTAGATATGGATCGTGTTTCGATTCGACAACGCTAGGCTACTGAAAATTGGTGCGGTTAGCAACAGCGCACAAAGCATTGCTAGACGATAGAGGTGAGGTGGTTTTCTTCATAATTGCTGGTTTTAGGCGTTCGGTGGTGACAACTTTGCATCAGGCACCGCGGTCGATTGTGAATAACCGACTTGCATGGTTGATAACTTTGAAGGGCCCGATGTATAGCGAGTGCCGAGGCTGTCGAACGCCGTCTACACAAAGCAATACGGATGAGCAAGTAAACAGCTTTTGGACACATGCACCCGTGCCTTCCGCAATGCTGAAACATGAGGGCGCAGTCCGCGCATCTCGTGTGCCAGCCGATCAGTGTGAATTTTCTACTGCTAGTTCTACCAGTCGTCTAATCAAACGCGGCTTGCAGTCCCAGGTTAGTTGCACCAGTGATGCCTTGAAATAGGTTTTTACGGTCTTCCTTGAGCCTAGGTGGATGATAAGAGGGATTTTACACCATGAAGGTTCTGTGTGCGTTCAAAGCTCTGCCTTCAGTTGACGATGAAATCGCTCCACCATGCCGTTCGTGGCCGGACGTTAACCATCGTCTGGACGTAAAAAAACCTAAGCCTTTAAGCAACGTGGCAAAAGTAGACGAGAGGTATGATCATTGATCTGTGGTCACGCTGGCAGGAAGGACGTACTGAGTTAAGTGGTGCTATGAAATGCCTGTGCTTCTCTTTTCGAAGAGCACTTTGGAATTTGAATAACCTCCGGGTACCTGGTAAACCGGTCAACACAATTTAGTCGATATACTGAGACTTTCAAAGGCCGCAGAGGACCTATGAGGTCTACTTGCACGTAGTGAAAACGTGCATGTGGCGTTGAAAACGATCCTGAATGCCTTTTCATGTGTTTTTTTTACCCTTGCAACTTAGATTGGAAGGCAAGCAGCAACCGAATTACTGACGTCGCAGTGGACGTTAAGCCAAACAAATCGTTTGGTTACCATTTTGAGGGGTGCACGGAAGCTTAGGTGGGATAAACCGTACAGCATGTCGAGCACGGTCTGTCGAAATTCACCTGGTATGATTACACACGCTGTGCCCCAGATGTGCCACAAAGTCCCTACCGATGATGTCAACGGAAGGGGTCGTACAACCGGTGAGTGGGGCCTGCATAGTAGGTCAACTTAAGGACCATTGTGTTGTGCTGGAGCGTGGCTTCTTGCTCAATAGCAGTGCTGGAGATAGTGGGGATCGACTGGATTCAACAACGTGCATCGGTGATGGCGTTTTACACATCTGAGACATGTTATATATCGGAGGTAAACTGAGCGATATGGCCTATGTGACGTGCTTTCCAAGGGGAGTATCTATCCTTTGGTGAACTAAACAAATATGTCAGTGTTTTGCGGTCCTTGAAAATGGCATAAGAGCTGTCTGCTAAGATATATCGTAAATGACTTATGGCCAGGTAGACGGTTGCTAGTTCCCTGCCGAACGTGCTGTTGCGAGCTTTAGCCGAGTTCAGGAATTTAGAGAAAAAAACGCAGCGGTTGCCAAGCGTACCCTACCTGTTGCCGCGAAACAACACCAGCTGAAATGCCAACAATGTTAATACTGGGCGATACTGGGGCTTTCGGGTCGTAATGCGCTATAGAAGCTATGTTGGCGATAGCCTCTTTTTAAGCCTAGTATACAATGCGTGCAGCAGCAAGAAAACCGTATTTAGTAACGTTGCTTCGGGTAAATTATGTAATGAACTGCATGAAGGACGCACAATTAGGTAGGAAACGGTGATAGAAGCTCAGTAGTTTGTGCTTCGGTGTAGTCCACGATGGCATTGCTTTTGGCTTGCAATCACACGACGCCCGCATGTCAGGTATGCTGGCCGATTAACTTACTGGCATCGACAACAAACGCTTACTTTTCTGCATTGCCCCTTACCCCGTGTTGTGATTAGTGGTCAAAAAGGGTTACCGCATGTGGCGCAAATTCTCCTTGAGTGAGGAACTAGCGCTTAGGATGTCATCTCTGCGTACGTGCGTGAAGTCTAAACCACGAAAAACTTAGTCAATGAAACACTGAAAAGTTTGTGCCACATTCTTAAGACCAAGTGGAATGCGCAGAAGCTAAAACAGACCAAACGGAGTCATCACGGCTGTCTTAGCAATGTTCAATTTGCTACCTAAATTTGGTTGCATACGCGAAGCAAGCCGAGCTTACTAAAAACTGTCTCATTTGCTAAACTGGCTGTGAGATCCACGGTTTTGGGATTAGATAACGATCAGATCCGGTAACTATATTCAAGGTACGATAGACGCTACAAGGACGCCAGTCCCCTATGATCTTCTTCTGGACCATGTGTAGGTGTAATGGTCATGAACTGTTGGATGGTCAACTGACACCGAGTTGAAGCATGTGATCGAATTCAGAT